AACTTTCAACTGGGTGATATCCCAGGAAGTTTTAGAATTGGGATTTCCACAGATGTGCCAACCTGTCTGTCTTATTAAATTGGAACTTTAAGGATAGCTCTGATTTAATTCTGCATGATATTTGGAACACTGACATGCATATTATTATTTACAGTGTACTGCTCTGCTGTTCTTCCATGGCTGTTGACGGGAATTTTTGCAATACAATTTGATTTCACAAAGTAGCTTTATACTTTCTTGATTGCAAAACAGCAATTTTAATTTTTCTAAGTACGGCAAAGTAAAAGGCATTTTGGGCCTTCAAGGTATTCCTGCTTATGTCTGAGTATTTTAAAGAGAAGATACAGAAGATACAATCATGCCTGATTCTCGCCAATTCTATGGACTAGCTCTCTCCACATTTTTCAATCTTATATGACCTCTTTCACTTATTTTACTTGACTGGTGTTAGCTTTTAGGGTATACAACCACTGGAGGTTTATTTTATTTTAAGAAGACATTACTTTCTACACTTCACCATTCTAAGCGTAATTACCTTTTCCAGTGAGTTTGATTACATGACTTGGCCTAAATAAGAAAGAATTTTGTGATTTTGCCTTCCAGTAATATGTTTGACACCAGTACCTGCTTGTTTGTTACTTTTGCTGTCTATGGAATGCACAGGAGCCTTCTCTGCTAGCGCACCTTGAATGAATCAATTTTCTTCTTGTGTGGTTTCTTCATGGTCCAAATGGACAAATAAATAATTAATAAATGCTACTTTTAGTTTCTTGATCTACCAGTCATGCACTCAACAGAATATATCTCACAGCAGAACAATTCTTCTTCACCATCAGTGGCCCATTATGTGAGTATTAAAGAAAGAAGTTGTACGTTTACTTCACTTAAACTACAAAGGGGTATAATCTGAAGCCTGATGCTGAGGAAGGCCACCGAAAGCCTTCAAGACTGCCCCTAGAATGTTTCCAGTGAATTGCCTTAATATGACACAATGCATGCATTGAGAGTGATACTAATAATCATCTGATGAAAATTAAATTTAAAAAATACCATTATGCTCTGCCACTGCCACACTGAGGATAAAAACAATGTTATTTCCCAAACAGTAAGCTGGGTTGACAAAATCAGAAATGAGGTGATAAGCTGCCTGGAAAAGCCAAGGGAAACTGTCAAAGCTATTAAAATTGAAAGTTAGAATATTTTGGAGATGTGATGCGAGACCTGGAAAAATACGCCATACTTCACTTAATCCTCCAGGGAAAGATTGAAGGCAAGCAAGGTCCAGGCAGAAGAAGAACATAATGGCTTCAAAATATAAGGGACTGGTTTGGACAAAACTCAGCAGCATTTTTTCGTGTGGCTGTTGATAAAAATATGATCGCAAACATGATCACCGACATCTGATGATGGATATGGCACAACAAGAATAATTCTTCATCAGGAAAACAATTATCCAGGTTTTACTCTTCTGTTGTGTAATTACCCATGAAAAATGTTTGGATCATGATTTTAAACTTGCCTAAGAGGCACAGAGGTGTTTCGTAGAAAATTAGGAAAATGTGTTTATGGCCCTTCCCTACCATTATTCCTGTTTGTTCCCCTTCTTGCCACTCTGCAGGATCACATATTTTATGAGAGTCAATTTAATATTGCAACTGGAGAACCCTGATTTATTTGTAGCATCAGGTGATTCTGAAATGCCCAACTCAAGGAAGTTCATCTTATGTCCTCAATTACAAACAAAATCAAGTGCCGGAGTAATTTCTTCATCCTCGTGTTCACACATTTATTATTTCAAATTCCCCCCCTTAGATTTATCCCAAGTTTATTGTACACATTGTTTGAAACTGCAATACAGGTCATCATCATGTCATCACACGCAAGGTATCTTATTATTAGAGAAGCATTGGAACAGCAACAAAACTTCTGTTGACCAATGATGAAAGAACAAAAAATATAAAACAATATATACCGTTTTCTGCTGCTTAGCAAATATGATTCAAACACCATAGCTGATCACTGCTGTAAATATACTGCACCATAAATAAATGTAAAGTCATTGTACAAAAAAACTTAGACATTTTTCATACAAACAGGATACATTTGGAAGAATTACACAAAGATTTTCCTTATATTTTCCTTTTAAAAAAAGATTGTGTTTATGTTTTCAAATATCCAAATACTAATGAAATGCAGATTACTACAGAAAAGCAGGGGAATTACTATGGGCTCTGATACATCTGATAAGTGCTGTTGGGGAAAGGAATAGAATTCAAGTGTATATTTCAAATCACTTTCATCTGAAATCATTAAAACCTAAATGAGAGCAAGCTAACTCTGCTATAGGGAATCAAAATGTATTGAAGAGATCACTATTTGTTTTGCTTTTGTGTAAATTGATAATTTCCATGAAGAATTATTACCAACCAAACTACCATATGTGGTTGCATAGCTTTAATGCACCAAAACCTTTTAGATGCTATTGAAAATGAAACTTGAAAGTTTCAAATAACTGAAAAAGAGGTAGTTAGGGCCTCTCAATCCCAATTTTTCTATTATTTGCTTATTGAAAATCATATTTTCCTTCTCATTCATAAGAACAGCAAAGACAAGGTTTTGTATTAACATGACTCCAATGTCTGATAAGTGAAAAACATCACGCGGTATAAAAAGTAGGTGCACACTTGAACTTCACGAACATGCTTTTGAAATGTGTGGAAATAAGCATTATCCGTAATGAAGATTTCCATTTTTCCGTCTTGCAAGAATTCTATAGATGGGTAGACTTCTAAACACTTCAAGGCGATCAATTGTGCTATTTGCCTGTATGGGTTTAGGCTTTGTGGAGTTACAGATAGCTTTACATTGCTCCAACATCATCATTATTTTTTGAGACAGAAATGTCTTCATGAATTTTGGAGTATTATCTTAGTCTATAGTTTGAGATTAAGGATTTACGGTACATTTAAAAATTTTGTAATGTATGTGACAGCAGGGGAAATTAGAATAGCATTCTGCAAAGCCCAATACAAACATGGGGCAAGTCATTCAGAGAACAAAATCTCAGCGGAAAAAATAGTCTCTAGCAGATGGATTAACATTGCACAGCAAAACCTCACTGAAATATATCTGAATTTACTTTGAGGTTCTCTGACACTCAGCAATGAGACCTTCAACAAAAACCTGCTTTTCTTTTCACCACCACACACATACAGACAATAATTAGGTTTCCCCACAAGTAGTCCTGATTTTTTTCCCCCCTGGGAGTGACTGAGAACTCTTTTGTAATACTAATATAAAAGCAGAACCTAACAAACCTCTTTCACATGACTGAAAATACTTATTAGAATCACTGATCTCTACACACTTCTTCAGAAAACAAGATACAGGATGTTATACCAATCCTACAGCAGATACTTTGGGAGAATATTTGTTTTGAAGATAAATGGATTTTTTTTTCAAGGTTGACTCAGCCTTCCATCCTTCCGAGGTGGGTAAAATGAGGACCCGGATTGTTGGGGGCAATATGTGACTCTGTAAACCGCTTAGAGAGGGCTGAAAGCCCTATGAAGCGGTATATAAGTCTAACTGCTATTGCTATTGCTATTTTTACATTTACCATATTTAATGACTGCTGTAAGAAGAAAAAGAAAGAAAAGAATGAGAACATCTGTCTATCAATCACAAGAATATGTTCGTGTTTGGTTTAGTTTTTAAAATCTGCTTTGTTTTTTAAAGTTAATCAAGTCTTACTACGGTAGAAACTGTGATGTTAAGGAGTTCTGGCAGTATTGTATATGCTTTCCATAAAAATCACAAAACACTTGAACTGTTCTGGCAGATATTTGGGATTGAAAAGAGCAGGACATTTCCCTCCTCTGAACTCCTTTGTTCACCATTGTGGTCTATGTAAAGAGTCTTAATTCTATGAGCCTTTCATTTTTCCATCAGTACAAGAGACCCCTATTTTACCACCACAAACCCATAAAAGAAATGTTAATAATAAGCCCAGTATCACCTGAGATATTACACTAAACCAGACATTTTCATATGCAATGTACTTTTTGTTCTGAAGACGTTTTCACACATATAACTGTACAGATGTTGACTTCTATTCAGCCTGGAATCTGGTATGGCGAGGGTTGAGCTCATGTGAAAAGCAAACAATATACGATTAGGTGAATAGTACAAATAAGAAAACTGTATATCTGAATTTGCTTTGCTTTGCTTTGATGCTCTTGGATAGAGGGCTTAGTGTTGCTGATATCATGGTTTTCTGTTGCATGAAAAAAGCTGAAATATCTTACCACTTGAATAGCTGCCTCAGAACTTATACACAGGAAACAGATATGATATGTGAAACAATATTCCATCAACTTCCGTATAGAGAGATGTAAATCCGTGGAAAGAAGGCATTTAAGAAAGGCCACATACTTAATACTAATAATCTTATGCTGCTGCTGCTTTGGGCATAATGTTCTTACAAGATTGAAAACAGAAAACATTAAGCTAACCTTTTTGGTATTTTTATCAGTATTAGTAGGTTCTGGTTTAGTAACACCTGGTACATTGTGATGAAGAACAGTAATTAAATATGCATTTATGATAAATAAGAAAAAGCACATATGAAAATCTCTTAAGATCTAAATGATGGGAAACAAAATCTTAGCTAGACTGCCCTTCTTTGGCATCAGGGCTGGGGGCAAAATTCTGGAGGGCAGCAGTCTTGAACAAGACAAGGTCAAAAGCCAACCGTTATGGAAGAGTCTGGAACTGTTGAAAAACATCCAACATTGGAAGAGCCTGGCTTCATTTTTTGCAGGCTAAAGAACAGGGAAACGCCTCTACCACCATCTCCACCATAAGAATTTCACAGATCATTACCTTCAAGTAGCACAACAATTTACCAAGATGTTCTAATGATCAAGCCTCCAGAGATGAATAGAAGACAACTACTGTCTTGCATACTATCATTCGTTTACATAAAGAAACTTTTTAATGGACTATACCCTTGCAGTTCTGAACAAACAAGGAAAACTGTCCAAATATTTAATATTTGGAATTAATTTTGAAATTCTAAGCAACAATAGAACAACTTATATTTTCTTTATAGGAAATTAATCTGAACTGTTAGAGGACTTCATTCTAAAACTCCTCTTTTTACCCTGGAGAATTACAGGGGAATTACAATCTCTTAGAGCAGGGCTGTCAAACTCGCGGTCTACAAGCCAGATGCATCACGCGCTGGCCACACACACGCACACACACACACAGAGTTTAGCGAAGGGGGAAAAGTTGCGATAGGTCACGTGATGCCACTCGTGATGCCATGAGTTTGACTTAGAATATACCAAAAGAACTCAGAAATGAATTATTCTCTTATGGTCTTAAAAGATCCTCCTTTTCCTTTTATTTCCTGTTACATGCTCTAGCTTTGGCAATTAAACTAGTTTTGCTTGGGTAATTAAACTTGCTAAACTGGGTAGCTTTTATCCTCAAAATCTTTTTTACTGTCGTATTTAGACTCACAAAGATCTTCTCACCTGATAAGAGTTATGACTGACTTAATAGTTCTGTTTCTCTTTCATCATTCTTGCCCAATCTTGTCTCTTTAAGGCGTACCTCGTCCTATACATATCTGTTACGGAAAGTGTCTGACTTAATTTCTCCTGACTGTGTGTAGTACCATCTCATTCAAATTACATAGATTTATCTCCTGGATGAAGAAATTAAGAGATCAATTATGAAGAAGAGCACATATGTGTTCTCAAATTATCTCTTCCCTTCATTCTATAAGCTTTTTCATTTTTTAAATCAGCTATGAGAAAGCCATATGTCATTGGAACCATAGATATTAAAGGAAGACAAGCTGTTGCTTAGAACAAAGATTTTGTTGACTGTATTCCTAAGAGCATTTCCTTTTAATTCCTAAATATGGATCTATAGTTTTGAATTTTCATAGATTCCCATTTTCAGGAATACAGAAATGTAACAACCTCATTCTTCTACTAAAAGCATTCCAAAGAGGAAAAGATGCTGAGCTCAAAATATAAACCCCATTTCCAATCAACCTTCGAAGAAGACGTAGCCTGCTAACTTCACTAAGGGCTGAGGCCATTACAATGTGTATCACATATAGACAATGACTGTCTGTAATTCTAACAGTAAGAAACAAATATTAGCTCAGATGTATTCATGTCAAGAAAGAGATTGAAAAGAAAGCATTACTTTGTTTTCTCCATAGCATTGTCAGTCAATGCAAAAGCTGGGAAAATTTGTTTGTTAATATTCCACTGTAAACTAATTCCAAATTTGGCTTAGCAAAGTAATTCTAGAAGGCGAGATAACAATTATAGTAAAAACCTGTTAATTTCAAGTAAACAATTATATGTTTTTTCTGTATCACCTACAGGGGGAGAAACTCATAATTTCAAAATGTTTAAGCACTTGTATCTCAAAACCAAGTTATCAAGGAAAACTATTGTTATTTCAGTGTGCACCAAGTGGAAGACTTGCAACATTTTGAAATGTGGGCTTCTTTAACTGGAATCTCAAAAACAATGACCATTTAAAGACTGCAGATTTTTGTGCTTGAACAGATGATTATGGGTTGTCATGAAAATAAAGGAAACTCCAGGAGGAAAAAACAAAACAAAACACTTTCTGCTTCTTCTCACCACAGTTTCAACACTATAGGTAAAGCCAGCCAGAAAGATATAGAAGAACATGCATTCAAACGAGTCTTCTAGGAAATGTATCTTTGTGTACTGGATCCATCCATGTCTGCTTTGTTGCAGGACCTGTGTTTGCAGCTGTTCGGCTTCCAACAGCTGAAGTCCAACCTTTCTCGCCAATATCCAATGGAAAGACACAAATCTTCACACTGTATTTCCAAGGCTGAACATTTAGCATGTTGTGGCCAAGGACTGATGGATGGGGGGCTGAAAGCAGCGAACATGCTCAACTGTTGAACTGTCTGTTTCCACTGATTTCATGTATTTGTTCAGGATGGCAAAAATCTCATTGTTCAGAATTTGGTACTTCCTGATCCTGTCAGCCATTTTCTTAAGTGGCTGGAGATTAAAACAAAAACAGGGAATAAGGAAACATGAACAACATCTCTGCTATTTTTATAGCCATCCTGTTATCCAAAGAATCAGCAAGACTACTGGATAAATATGTAAAATAGTTCTCTCCCATCTCTAAATGGAAAAAAAAAGTTTCAAACTCCCCTATTTCTTAGGCATCATAAATATAGCATCTCTTTACATGCTTCCACAAACAAGCTGGAAAATAACTCATTTCCCTTATGTTTTTATTAAATTTATGCAGAAGTGGCTCTATGTTTGTTAAATTATTGACTTCTTTAAGTCCTTATTTTCCTCTTTCTCCTTGTCTCCCTAGAGAGCCAAAAGTACACAACTGTTTGCTAATAAAGGTCAGCAGATCCTGAATTTATTATATGTACTGTATGTACTAAGTACTCACAACAGACATCATCTTGTTCAGTTGGGAAGAGCTACTTACTGT